CTATCGTCACGGTGATTCGGACTAGCGTCGACGCCGTGCACCTCTTCCATTTGTGGTTGCAGTTTCGGTTGGCTTACGTGTCAAGAGAATCGCTGGTGGTTGGGTGTGGGAAACTCGTGTGGGATGCGCGTGCGATTGCTTCTCACTATGTTAGGTCCCTTAAAGGATTCTGGTTCGATGCTTTTGTCATCCTTCCCGTTCCACAGGTTACATACATTTATAACCACTTGATTAGATTTATTCGAGGACCCATTTGGTCATAAAAATTATTCACTTTTTATCGAAATAATTTTTTTATCGGAATAGTAATTGATCGCCGTAGTTAAGTTACATGAAAAAAAAGAGTGAAAGGGTGGATATTAGAAGGTCATGGTAGGAAGGTTTTTTAGAATATTATAATACTCCTGCAATATAGGAATATAAAATATGTAGGTGTAAAAAAGTTGTTAGGTATTATTCCTATGGAGATATGGTTTGATTGTTAAAAGTGGTCATAGACAAAAACTTCTTAAGAACCTGAAGGTCACGGATTAGTACTACTCACTATGCTATGGTTTCATCCAACATTTTTCTAATTTTTCAAAAACAAACAAAAAGTGAAAGTGTACACTTTTTAACCCATAAATGTATGTCTTTAATTTGTCTTCATTTCTTTACCCGACTTTGTGAGATTACATTAGATATGAGTATATTTGTTATTTATTTGCTCAAGTTGTATAAACATGATTTATTTTCCTCTGCAGGCTGTATTCTGGCTGGTGGTTCCAAAACTAATAAGAGAAGAGCAGATAAAACTTATAATGACGATCCTTTTATTAATGTTCTTGTTCCAGTTCCTCCCCAAAGTTTATCACTGTATAAGTTTAATGAGAAGGATGCAAAAGGTTACTGGATATATTTTTGGTACCATCTGGTGGGGATTTGGACTTAATCTCATTGCTTATTTTATTGCTTCTCATGTAAGTTTTGCCCTGCATACTATAGAGAATTACGATTTGTTGTAAGTTAACTTAACCTGATGGAGTAGAAGTTATTATTTGAAGGTTGCTGGGGGATGCTGGTATGTTCTTGCAATACAAAGAGTGGCTTCATGTCTAAGGCAGCAGTGTGAGCGCAACCCTTCGTGTAATCTATCTTTGTCATGCTCAGAGGAGGTGTGTTATCAGTTTCTATTGCCAACAGGAACTGTGGGAAATCCATGTGCTGGGAACTCAACAACAGTGACTAGGAAGCCAATGTGTTTGGATGTCAATGGACCATTTCCATATGGGATATACCAATGGGCACTTCCTGTTGTTTCTAGCAGATCCGTCACTGTTAAGATTCTTTACCCCATCTTTTGGGGACTGATGACCCTTAGGTAAATAACTTCATTCTTTATATATATTACTCTAGTAGTTAAGACTTCAAAAGTGAATAACTTGGTCTAATGCAGATCAGAAAGGTTGTTGATTTCAACATCTTAGTAAAGAATTTTTTTTTTTTCGCTTTTATTATTGTGTGGTTAGACCATCTCCATGTTGTTGAGGGTCTATTAGAAACAACCTCTCTTCCTCTGAGGTAGGGGTAAGATCTGCGTACAACCGTACACTCTACCCTCCCCAGAACCCACACTACACTGGATATATTGTTGTTGATTTTTGTATGGTGTGAAACATGAAAATCTTTAATTCCCTTCAAAGTGTTTGGCTAGAGGAAAAGATATGAATATGGAAATGAACTGTCTTGATGACTTTTGCATTGGAGACTATTTGTTGAAGTACTTCACTTACAACTTTTGGTGTTTGACTGCAGCACATTTGGCAATGACTTAGAACCAACAAGTCACTGGCTAGAAGTTATTTTCAGTATATGCCTTGTGCTTAGTGGATTGATGCTCTTTACTCTTTTGATTGGTAACATCCAGGTAAGCTATTAAGTAGTACTTGTATTTTTCTAAAAAATGACATGATTCCTTGATGCTGATTTTGTTTCTCTTTTCAAGGTGTTTTTACACGCGGTCATGGCAAAGAAGCGAAAAATGCAATTAAGATGTAGGGATATGGAATGGTGGATGAGGAGGAGACAATTGCCATCACAATTAAGACAAAGAGTTCGCCACTTTGAACACCAGAGATGGGCTATGATGGGTGGCGAAGATGAGATGGAACTTGTAAAAGACTTGCCAGAAGGACTTCGAAGGGACATCAAACGCTTTCTTTGCCTTGATCTTATTAAAAAGGTACAATACAAAGCCAATTCTTACGTCCCTTCTAAGAACACAAAATTGGTACATGTTACTAGTGGAGATATATTGATATCTGAATTTCATTACATCAGGTTCCTCTGTTCGAAAGTTTGGATGATCTGATTCTAGATAACATTTGTGATCGCGTTAAGCCACTCGTGTTCTCTAAAGATGAGAAGGTACTACCAATTCGCGCACTCTGTATAGTGATACTATAACTGCTTGCAACTATGACAATCTCTTACCTTTTTTTGTTCTGTCTAAACAGATCATAAGAGAAGGAGATCCAGTGCACAGGGTTGTGTTCATTGTTCGTGGACGCGTAAGAAGTAGCCAAAACCTCAGTAAAGGAGTGATTGCCACAAGCATACTTGAGCCTGGAGGCTTCTTTGGAGATGAACTTCTTTCCTGGTGCTTACGCCGTCCCTTTATTGACAGACTTCCAGCTTCTTCCGCAACCTTCACTTGCATTGAATCTACAGAAGCATTTGGCTTAGATGCAAACCACCTTCGATTTATCACGGATCACTTCAGATACAAATTTGCAAACGAGAGGCTAAAGAGAACAGCAAGGTATTATTCATCCAATTGGAGAACCTGGGCTGCTGTGAATATACAGTTAGCTTGGCGACGTTACATGATGAGGACTAGCCGTCCCACTATACATGTTATCGAAAATGGGGATAATGATCATCGTCTTCGGAAGTATGCTGCAATGTTCTTGTCAATCAGGCCACATGATCATCTTGAATAGTGATAATAGCTTTGATACTATATCCTCATTTGTCATATTTTTCGTCAATAAGCCAGATTTGTGTACAACGACATTGATTCATTGAACTTTAATATCTGATATAAAGGGTCCGGGAATTATTTGCTCAAATAATATTACATCATTCCCCCCTCCTTTGTAATCACCTTAGAAGCAAATCTTCTTGTTGGTAAAGTTCGCAGTTCTGACGGATCAACTAGGTGTCACGATTCAAGTTTGCATTTGTTTCTTTGGGTTACAAACTTACACTTAACCCAAATCAAGCTCCAAAAGCGCGAGTACCATGTAAACTTGAGTAATGACTTACAAAGCTCTTCATTTTACTTTCTTATTCTATTATGAGATTTGTCTATTTCAATATGAGATTCGTATTAGGTGTCATGTGGCCCAGCATCCCAAGTCTAACCTATTATCCGCTTTGGGCCGAAGCTCGCACAAATTTGCTTGTTTTGGACTATGCTATATCGAGCCCTAAAACCACATATCATGTGAATTAGAGCTATGCCTTATAAAGTTCTTTATTTTTCTTTCCCATTACAATGTGGAGTTTTACCTGAAGTTTTATATACACCTCATCCTTCAAAGCTTGCCAACCTTAAAATTTCTCAGTCGTGATTGACGCATTCTTATTAGCCCCTATAGGATAATAACAAAGATGCGTGTGTCAAAAAAAATTAGCATGAATTTCAACTTTTCTTTCATAAATCAAATAGCAACTTATATAATTAAAGAAATTTAACTTTATTAGGTAGGTAGTTAGCATCTGAATGTGTACATCGTATATTTTGGATAGAGTATTAGGATATTAGAACTTTCTTGTTCATTTTGCTTTCCCTATCTCAATTGCAATAGATATTCTACTAGTATATTGTACGTTATAAAGAACTTAAAAGAATGAATAATTTGATAAATGATTTAGAATAATAATTAATGTAAAATGTAATAAAAAAATAATAATTTATCTTTTCTTTAATATGATAAAATAAACAACTAAAAATGAGAAATAATATAGAATGAATAGATAATACTAGATGATATAAGATAAAATCTATTTTAATCTCTCTCTTGATATGATAAAATAGATAAATACAAATATAACTTTATTTTCTTTTAATTAAATAAACAAATAAAAGTAATTTTTTTAAAGAATACACGGAATTAAAAATGTGACCCGACAATTTTAACAACAGTAAAAATTCCCTTTTAAAAATAATATGGAAAATAATAATTTTAAAAAAGAGAGAATAATTGTGTCATTTCATTAAAAGAGAAAAATCTATTCTTATTGTTTTAAATATATATATTTTTAAAATAAATAATTAAATAATATTATAATTTTAAGAGAAATAAAAGTGATATTTCTAGGTAATTAGTCAATAAGAAATTACTCTCTTTATCTCAACACGAGATGTACTGGGTTACCTGTTTGGTTTGACTTCATAAGTTAGGATTTATGACTTTGGTTTATTTTTGTTATTTTAACTTTAAAATAAGTGCTTATAAGCACTTTTAAACTTTATCCAAATATTTCAAAATTGCTTAAAACCTATTTTGATTTAAAAGCACCTAAAATAAGTCAATTCAAACGGGCACTTAAAATAAGTGCTTATAAACACTTTTAAATTTTATCCAAACACTTCAAAACTGTTTAAAATCTATTTTGACTTAAAAACACCTAAAATAAGTCAATTCAAACTGGCACTTGAAATAAGTGCTTATAAATACTTTTTAACTTTATCCAAACACTTCAAAACTGCTTAAAAACTATTTTAGCTTAAAAGCACTTAAAATAAGTCGATCCAAACGGGCACTAAAACACTCGTGGTTACATAATACTATAACAATGGCATTAGAAACGACACCGTAATTAGGGTTTACCTGTAGAGTCGGAAACCTCTGATACCTCTCCCTTCAATCTTTTCTCCCATTTCATCTGTTAATTTTTTGTTTGTTTGTATATACACTTATGCAGTCGTTACACTTATTTTAACAATGATTTTAGTTTGTTAATTCTGCTGATTTTCTCTCTTCCTTTCTCCCAAATCATCAATTTTTCTTGTTTAATTTATTGTTGTTGAAATCATGGCGACTTCTAAATCACAGAGGACGCCGGCGGAGATCGAGGATATAATTCTTCGGAAAATTTTACTTGTATCTCTAGTTGATTCAATGGAAAATGATACACGCGTTGTGTATTTAGAGATGACGGCGGCCGAGATTTTGAGCGAGGGTAAAGAATTAAGGTTGTCTAGGGATTTGATGGAGAGGGTTTTAATCGATCGACTTTCTGGTAATTTTGTATCCGCGGAACCACCTTTTCAGTATTTGGTCAACTGTTACCGTCGGGCACATGAAGAAGGGAAGAAGATTGCGTCGATGAAGGATAAGAACGTTAGGTCTGAGATGGAATTGGTGGTTAAGCAAGTAAAGAGACTTGCTGTATCATACTGTAGGATACATTTAGGAAATCCTGATATGTTTCCCAATTGGGATATGGCACCAGCAAATGTATCTCTGTTGCTTCCTTTGTTGTTTTCTGAGGTTTCAAGTTCTGTGGATGTGTTTGGTGGGAGTAGTGGTAGTGGAGGAGTGTCAAGTCCACCTGGGTTTTTGGATGAGTTATTAAAGGATGCGGATTTTGATAGTATGGACCCAATACTGAAGCAGTTGTATGAGGATTTGAGAGGGACTGTGCTAAAGGTTTCAGCTTTGGGTAATTTTCAGCAGCCTCTTAGAGCTTTATTATTTTTGGTTAAGTATCCAGTAGGTGCCAAGTGTCTTGTGAATCATCCTTGGTGGATTCCAAATAGTGTTTATATGAATGGAAGAGTAATCGAAATGACAAGCATTTTGGGTCCTTTCTTTCATGTCAGTGCTTTACCTGATCATACAATCTTCAAGAGTCAGCCGGATGTTGGGTGGGTTAAAATTTATCTCGTCTATTTAATTATGAATTATATGTTGTTTCCTTAAGTGTATTATATGACTTTATACAGTGAAGAGAAGTTTTATGCCATTCTAAAACCAATTAGAGAAATAGACAAGACAGCCTTTCATACTTGTTCAATCTTTCTTATCATGCTTTTTCTTCATTCTACTTTGTGAAAGTTACCTTGAAAATATTGATTCTTCAGACATCATCAAGCTAATAACTTATGGTTCTCTTTGGTATCGAGTGACTTAGCATATGCATATCTCTCATTCTCTAACCGAACAGATGGGGGGGGGGGGGGGGTGGCCATTTATGGACCTTGGTGAACGAAGATAGTCTAAGTTCTTTTGCATTGACGTATTCTCTGCTGAGGACTTCTATTTTTAACAAAGGACTGATAGATTGTTTCACTTGTGTTGGACAACAGCCAGCAGTGTTTCTCAGAATCGGCCACACGTCGTCCTGCTGATCTCTTGTCTTCTTTCACAACAATCAAAACTGTTATGAATAACTTGTATGATGGCTTGGCAGAAGTGCTTATGTCTCTTCTGAAAAATTCAACTATTCGTGAAAATGTCCTTGGATATCTTGCTGCAGTTATAAACAAAAATTCGTCAAGGGCACAGTTGCAGGTAAGATTTCTCCAGATCACACTATGGAGCTGTAACATGTGAAACAGACCTGTAAAGTGTGCATCTGTTGGCTCTGTGTTAGATACTTCATTTGCACTTGTACCTTTTCACCCTGATATGTGCGGATTGTAATTTTGTTTATGTATGTTCTGATTTTTTCTACTCTGCCATAACTTCAAAATATTATACTTTGCAGGTTGATCCATTATCTTGTGCTAGTTCAGGCATGTTTGTAAATCTCAATGCCGTTATGCTTCGGCTATGTGAACCTTTCTTAGATGCCAATTTGACAAAACGGGACAAGATCGATCCCCAATATGTGTTTTCTAGCACCCGTCTGGAACTGAGGTGAATTTTTCTTCTTCCCCATATTCCTCCCCTTTTCGATGCATGTGTGTTTGTTGCTTTAAACTTGCCTATGATTCATACTAGGGGGTTGACTGCTCTGCATGCATCATCAGAAGAAGTCTCTGAATGGATAAATCAAAATAATCCTGGAAAAGTTGACGTCGCTAAAGAAGGCAGTGATGGAGAAAATCGGTTGTTGGCATCACAGGAAGCTACAAGTTCTGGGAATGATTCTGGTGGACCTTCAATTCTCCACTATAACAACCCAATATCAAGTAGTAGTGAGAAAGCTAAATACCCCTTCATATGTGAATGCTTCTTCATGACTGCACGGGTGCTCAACCTGGGCCTCCTAAAAGCATTTTCAGATTTTAAGCATCTTGTTCAGGTGAGGAATTGGGATTTGAAGAAAGTAAATACTAAATTTTACTTGGTGAAAGAAGGATGTCTTGAACCATGTGTAACAGTGGATGAAAGGTTAATATGGTATGGTCAAGGTGTTTGTACCAAACTAACTATTTAATTATCAACTTTAGGACATTTCAAGATCCGAAGATAATTTGTCTACCATGAAAACCATGCTAGAACAAACACCCTCGCCACAGTTGCAGCAGGAAATAGCTCGCTTGGAAAAAGATCTTGAATCATATTCACAGGAGAAATTATGCTATGAAGCCCAAATACTGAGGGTATATAAACTTCTCCTTTTTTAATACTTAGTAGGATTATGCAATCTTGAGTATGTGAAGGGATTCTCTTTTTATACCTGCTTTTGTTATATTGTTCTTAATGCTATACTTTGCTATTTTCAAGCAAAGTAGCTTCTTAATGTGGGTGTCAACTCGTAGGGGTTGTCTTTACTTTTTCTGTGCATACATGATTTTTTCGGTGTAAAATATAAAATTTGCAAATCAACAGCATCCTAGGTTTGAGTAGATGTTAGTTATATTCTGCATTTCCCTACTTTTAGTTGTTGGTATACAGAGTTAAAAAATTGCCTTGTTTTCAGGATGGAGGGCTTCTCCAGCGTGCATTATCCTTCTACAGGTTGATGGTTGTTTGGCTGGTCGAGCTTGTTGGTGGTTTTAAGATGCCTTTACCTTCCCCTTGCCCTATGGAGTTTGCATCTATGCCTGAGCACTTTGTTGAAGATGCCATGGAGCTGCTAATTTTTGCTTCTCGAATTCCCAGAGCTTTGGATGGTGTCTTGCTGGTAGGTTTAGTCATGATCTTTTTATGTCCATTCATTTCTTGTTCTTCATGTGTTCCTTTTTTGTATGCAATCATCTTTTTGCATTGCTTGACAGGATGACTTCATGAATTTCATTATCATGTTCATGGCAAGTCCAGAATATATCAGAAACCCTTACCTTAGAGCAAAGATGGTTGAAGTCCTAAACTGTTGGATGCCCCGCAGAAGGTGATTCAAATATAATCATTTGTGATATTGCATTTTTCAAAACTACGTCTACTATTATTTGTGTCTGTGTGTGCTGGGAATCTAGTGCTGTCGCCTCTCTAAGTGATTTTTTTATACAGCGGCTCTACTGCAACGTCTACTTTGTTTGAAGGGCATCAACTCTCTCTGGAGTACCTTGTGAAAAATCTTTTGAAGCTTTATGTTGACATTGAATTTACAGGTTCCCACACACAGGTAATGCTTTTGTGCTTTATCAGATGATATGTGCTTGGAGAAGTGAAACTTTTCCTATAAAGTTCCCCCCTGCTCAGGAAGTAGTGATATTTGATGCTAGTTTTTTTTCCTTTCTGATCGTTGGTGCTAGTTCTTTCTTTTTGCATAACTTCATCAGTTATTTTTAAAGGCTCGCAAGGATCTTGAAACTTGAACGTATTTCTTTGTCATGCTTGTGTTGTTCATTTTCAAGACTTCAGGTCACTGACCTTTCATTTCATCATTACCTTCTCAAAGTGGAGATTCTTCAGATCTGCTGGAGTGTCAAATTAGATATACTTGTTCTCGAGGGTTGTCAGTAACGTGTCAGAGCTTAAATTTTTGGTTAATAGGATGCATAAATATTAATTAAGTAATAACTGGCAACATAATTAGTTCGGGGATGCACCATTTGATGAGAGTGGAGCCAACAGCTGGCCATAATTGTGAATATTACAAACAGAAATATCCCTAGCTGAAGTAGTTCCTAAAGTGTCGTACACTGGAAGAACTGCCAAAAACCTTGGTTTAAAAAATGCACTTCTTGCCAGCTCATCGGCTACCCTTTTCTGTTCCCTGCATACGTTTCTGAGAACTGGTGCCCCCAACTGCTGCATTAGTAACCTGCATCCAAAGATTATGTTATTATATGTTAAATGGCCATTAGTTATCATGGTAATAGCTTCTACTGAGTCAGTGTTGATCTCCAAAGGTTGGAGATTTTTCTCCCCTGCTATTTGTAGCCCATGGAAGATTGCTAGAAGTTCTGCCAGGTTGGTGGTAGTATGAGCGTAAGTCTTAGTGTAACCAATAATCCAATTCCCCCCTACAGTCTCTGTGAAGTAATCAATATTTTCCTCTCATAAAAGATGTTTCTCAAAGAACAACTAGTCTGACATTTTAGGAAGAGTCTATTGCAAAGTAGATATCCTCCAAGAAACTATGTTTGTAGGTGTGCTTTTCCATGACTGTTGGCATGTGCTTACCAACTTATCAGCCTAAAATTGTATTAAAAAAAGGGCTTACCAAACACAGTTCTAAGTAGATCATCTTATCAACAGTTCCTCAAAAGGGCTTTTTTGAAGGAATTTTGAACTTCGAAATTAAAGAAGGTATATTTTTTTAAGTATGGCTGTTAAATGGAACTCTTTTTTCCCAGAGGTCTCAAATACTGTTTTATTGGTTCTCTGGTGTTATTTCAGCATAAAAAGGTCGGAATGCCGGGTTATGTCATCAGATTTTCTTTTTCCTTTTTTTTGTGGTCAAGTCAAAGGTTTTGGGTTTTCTTTGTTATCTGGTGATACTTGTTTCACCATAAAGAGGTTTAATGCTGGTCTGTGTCTTCAAAATTTTCTTAAGAAGAGTGTACCAAACAAAGTATTAGTAGTACACAGACCTAATGCATGCATTATTTTTTCTAATGCGTCCTACTTGATGATAGAGGCTTCCACTGTGCTTTTGAAATGAAATGTCTCTCTGTCTGCAGTTCTATGATAAATTTAATATCCGCCACAACATTGCTGAACTGCTTGAATATCTTTGGCAAGTTCCAAGTCACCGGAATGCATGGAGACAGGTTGGAGTTTTTATCATTTGGGTGATATTTTGCTCTGAACATTTTATAACACAGTGCGTGAACTACTCTCCAATAACACTCATCTGTAACTTCAATATTGCAGATTGCCAAGGAGGAGGAGAAGGGTGTTTACTTAAATTTCTTAAACTTCTTGATTAATGATAGCATCTATCTTCTCGATGAAAGTCTTAATAAAATTCTTGAACTAAAAGAGCTGGAAGCTGAAATGTCTAACACAGCGGAATGGGAGCAAAGACCAGCTCAAGAAAGGCAGGAGAGAACCCGTCTGTTCCATTCACAAGAGAATGTCAGTTTTAAATCCTTAAATGTTTTTATTTACTAAAGTTATGTAATATGTTCATAGTTTAAGTGAAATATGCTGGTTGTTTTAGATAATTCGAATTGATATGAAGTTGGCAAATGAAGATGTGAGCCTGTTAGCATTTACTTCAGAACAAATTACTGTCCCTTTTCTTCTTCCTGAGATGGTATGTTCACTATTCAATATCAATTATTGTTGTATCGTATTATAGTCTGTGAACCTGTGGGTTTTAATCTTTTCGCTTAATTTTTCTCAAATTGGTTTTCCAGGTGGAAAGAGTTGCTAGCATGTTGAATTACTTCTTACTACAGCTGGTGGGTCCACAAAGAAAATCTCTTAGCTTGAAAGACCCTGAAAAGTATGAATTTCGTCCGAAAGAGTTGCTGAAACAGGTGAATGAAGTTCTTTACATATGTTGATATTGCCTATGGCAGCTAACTAAGACCAGATGGCATTAGATGTCTGTTAATTCTACTTCTCTGTCCTTCACTAGATTGCTTCCTCTCTACCTAAATTGGCCTCATTGCCCCATCTCCAACAGTCCTTGTTTCTAATATTCCCACGTCCCAATAGAGGGAACCTACTTTTACTTGTACAGTTACTAAGCGTAGGAAGTGTGAACAGATTATGTCGAGTTTGCTTGAAATATGCTATATTAACTTCAACAAAAAAGTTAATAGATTGGATGTGGCAAGAGGATCACTTGATTTTGTGAGATGTCAAATAGAGTTTGAGATTATAGAATAATTATTTTGTTCCAGTTTTTATCAGACATTTCCTTTTGGGTCTTCCCAGCATATTTTAAATTTCAAATAGTCAGCTGTTTGGAAGAGTTCGAATCCTTCTCTAGACAAGTCTGGTATTTAAGTGGAAAAGGGTAGAGAGGCGGGCTCATTATCCAATTAATGAATAAATATAGGAAGTGTTATTGATACGCCCAAAATGTACCATTAAGGTGTTGTTTGGTAGCATTATAAGAATAATGCTAAATAGGATGTATTAGAAATGCTTGCATTGTTGAGATTATTTCTTATGCAGTCTTTGGTTTAGTGTATTAAAAATAACATACATTGCATACAACAACAACAGCATACCTAGTGGAATCTCACTAAGTGGGGTCGGGGCACGGTAGAGTGTATGCAGACCTTACCACTACCCATAACATGCATTGCATAATTTTCACAGAGAATAAGGCGAAATCTACTTGTTCAGTGTAATGCTCGAATTAAAGTCTAAATTCCTTTAGGATAACGGGGAAATAACTTAAATTTGATTTTAACACTAAAAGTTTGACTTATGGATTTGATTCAATAGATAAAGGGGACCAGGGCTGTGTTTCCATAGAGGGAGTAATGCAATTGTGTCTTTATTTAAAACTCATTTAAATGCTTAAATATGCAAAATGGTGATTCCAATATTTTCTGTAAATCCTTTCGACCCAATTAGCAAAATTTCATCTGAAGTCCTTTTGGCCCTTGTGTGATAAATTAATCGCACCATAAAAGACGGGTTGACTTTTCTTTTTAAAGCTCAAGTCATAAGATGTCTTTAAAATCCCAAATCTCCGCTATTAATTTCTTTTCCTAATCTTAATTTATTTCGATCAGATCTGGGTTACTGCATTTCTCAAGCATCTAGTATATTTCATTTATATGTAGACCTGCAGTCTGGTTCCACAGGCCGCATATTAGGGCTTTTCTGTGTTTTGCTCCTTTTTGCTATGTTTTGCTCCTTTTTGGCATCTTAAAGTCTATGCAGTTGATGCCAAATGAGCTGTAATTTCACGGCTCATCAGTTATCTGTTCAAGAATCTAAATCAAGCAATTTGTTGCATATTATAGCACCAAATATCAGTTGCATTCAGTGTTGCTTGAGCTGTTGTATTTCCTATAGTATCATTGTTTTTAACTAAATCTAGTATGATTGTTGATGGGGTCTCTGGTCTGAATTTTGTCAAAGCTGTCTGTTGGTTCTTTTCTTTCTGACACAAACGAAAGTGTATTTCCTTATTATTTAACTTTTTTTTGTCTCAAGTTTTTACATTGTCTTGGTAATCCTCTGTTCCATCTAGTCGCAAACATTTTCATTTTGGTTAGTGTGTCCTTGTAGACCCCATATTATCCTTCCCAGAATCAAGAGGAAGATACTTATGCAGAAGTTTTACAATTTCTTTTTTTGATGATGAGACAGTTTTACAATTTCTTTTGTAATGCATGTGAAGATTGTGAAAATATATGTGCATTTGGCAAGAGGAGATAAGGAGAAAATTTTTCCAGCTGCAATTATAAGAGATGGCCGATCGTACAGTGATCAGGTTCTTACTCTTCAAGTTAATTGCTTCCTTAAAATCATTTCTCTGATTGAGCTTTGGTGTAACAAGTTGGATTTGCTCCAGATATTTAGTGCTGCAGCTGATGTCCTTAGAAGAATTGGTGAAGATATGAGGATCATACAAGAGTTCATCGACCTTGGTGCAAAGGCCAAGATTGCAGCTTCAGAAGCAATGGATGCTGAGGCTGCTCTTGGAGACATTCCTGATGAATTCCTTGATCCAATCCAAGTAAGTATCGCCTTTTTACTCAAAAGTCGAATCAAGCAGCTCATAATTCACCACGAGAGATAGATAGCATCTGTATTGACCTATCTTTTTTCGATTTGCAGTATACTTTAATGAAGGATCCTGTCATTCTTCCTTCTTCGAGGATAACAGTGGACCGGCCTGTTATTCAGCGGCACCTTCTTAGTGATAGTGTAAGCCTCCGTTTCTTGGTGTCTTTTATTCCACTTATGAGGAATATTGCAATTTTTCACGTGTTTCTACTGGTTTACAGACAGACCCATTTAACCGGTCTCATCTAACTGCGGACATGTTGATTCCCGACACCGAGTTGAAGGCGAAAATCGAAGAGTTCATCCGGTCCCATGAACTGAAGAAGCCTGGGGAGGATTTGAATTTGCAACACACAAAAACAACCATACAAACAACTGATACTTTAAATTTGATTGAGTAGGGATTTCTCTTTTTCTGCTTTTAACCCTGATCATTGTATTATATTTGAGTTCAAGTGATCAACGGTAAAACCTGTGTTGGTAACACATTTTTTATTCCCTTTCCTGTATGGGATAGTTCTTTTTACTTGTCAGGGTCCCCAATAACTATAGGAATTTATATTTTGTAAACAAGGGAATCTTCTGAAAAATGGTATATTTATGTTTTTCGTAATTTCATTTTGAATGGTGTCCAACTAGGCATTTTGTTTCCTTACATAATGAGTTAGTCATCCTTTCTTCAGACGATCAAATGGAACCTTAGCCAAGATTTGCTTTTGTTCTATATTTTTCCCTTCACCAATCTTTTAGCTTATTTTAGACAAATATTAAGTCTTTCAGAAATGGTGATATAGTTCAAATACATTAACCCCTAAACATGAGAGCGCAAATCTAAAAGAGTAGGAAAGACAACTAAATCAGGCAAACTTCCAGCAGAATCCTCAACATTTTTGTGAGCTATTGTCTATGAAATTAACAAATAAAATAAACCGTTGATACTTAAATATGGCTGTTCAATGTAAAAAAAAAAAAACAGGAGTAAATTTTTACTATACATAAGCTGCACCAGAACAAAACGCAAACGCTCAGCTGCTCAGTTGTTGAAATGTCTGGGCATATACATGGAGGACCTGAGAATAATTAAAAAGGATAATCAAGTCATTCAAAATCTAAACACCTGAAAAAAAAGAAGATGCAAAGTGGTCATTATTTTTGTTGGGAAGTACCTGGCGCTTTGTGCAAATAGGCACATCTTCCTTCTAAAACTAGTTTGACCACTTACTCAAAGCTTTGATTTAAGCTCAGCTATCTTTCTTTCTGCATATTCTTGAGCAATTCTAATTGCATTATCGTTGTGGCGCAAAGAAAACTCTGCTAGCAAGATTCGACTTTCCTCACTACTTAGATCCCCATGGCATCCCTTTTAAAAGAACAAAAAAATCAACTATGTAAGTTGAATCTTCAAGATCATGAATAAAAGATGGCTAGATGCTTGTACAGGAAAGAGATTTTAAGCAACTAATATCAACTACGTGGTCACCTTCATTGACCACAGAAGACACACCACCAAAGAACAGAATTTTCCAAGGTACAATAATACAGGAAAGGATTCAACTACTTCAGGTTGATGTCAACAACCAAATTTGGAACAGGTTCAAAAGATTTAACACCATAGGAAAAGTGTGGGAACTCAATTGTTATGAGAGAAGCAACATAGGCAGATGATTGTACCATTATTTTCCTATTACCACAAAAAGTTGAAAAGAGAAGGAAAAAGAGAACATACTTTGTAGCTAATAAAACATGTATGGCTTTAGCCCACACCCCCATCTGACAATAGAGAAAAAACAGAGCAATGCATGTATCACACAAAATAAGAGGTAATCCTAGCGCCTATATTCTATAGTTTCTCCTTTACATTGGATGTACTGCAATCCTATGATCCCCGCTCCCTTCCATCAGAGGAGAAGAAAATTAGAAAAGGACAGAAATAGTATGAAATGAGAATTAAGTGAATGTTCTGCAGTACAACGGAGAACGCACCAAGCGAGAAGTTCTGTCACAGACGGCATGGTGCATAAGAAGGCCAGCAGCAACAGAAACATTGAATGAGTCTACCATGCCTTTCATTGGAATACTGCAGTGCAAGTCTGATGATCCAAGAGCCTCGTCACTTATTCCCCTACAAACAACAATATCTTATCTGGTTGTGGTCCATCTCAGAAAAATTAATCATAGTCCACCCATGCAAAAAAACTAGCAAAGAAGCAAAATTCCTATTATCGCTGCTTTAACAAGGAAATAGAATAAGATCTTCGGCACAAAGAAAATCGTTAAAATAGAGAATCAAGAATACAAGAAAGAAACTGATTAAAAAATCTAACATAAGACTGGCCGAATATTCTAATGATTACAGTGTACATGTGACAAAATATAGAGTTCCCTTCCAGCAGGTAGGACTAGGGTCAAAGCTGAACAACTATTCTTGAAGTAGAGAATATAGTACCTACCTAAGTTCATTTCCCACAACAATTGCAGTTGGGCATGACCAGTCCATATCATACACAGAAACCTACAACAGAAAGACAACATTAAATAAACATCTAGAGAAAGCAATTAAAAAAAAAGAAACACAAAAATGAGCATACCAATTTTCACACTGGCAATGCAGTATCAGAAATAAAAGAGAATCACTATACCGTGTCCATTCCAAGATGTGTTGTTGCAATGCGATAACCACGTGATTTCAAAACTTTGAAGCACTCATGAACAGAATCCCATAGTTCGATATCCAACCATTTCTCAGCTCCCATGCTGACATGTCGATTCTCCCTGTACCTGTAGGCAGATAGTAAATATCAAGGCACTTGCACAAACAATGCTCAACAAAGCTAATTAGCCTATAAATACCGTTCTCTTCCTGCAAAACTAAAAAAATCAACCAAAAAGACAGGTTCTACTTTGTAGTTAGACTGTAAACCAATACTGGAAATCTTTGCACTAAACCTTTAATCAACATGACGACTAAGTAAACCACAAAATGCTTTTTTTCCCCCACTGATTATAACAGTAAGCTGGCTAAAAACACAGGATCAAACATTCTCCCTTTTCTACTTGCCAAATGAAGGGAAATTATTGGATTAAGTCAAGCGTGTTGCCTCAAACACATTGTTGTACATCATGTATTAGTTAAAAGTACATTTGTAACACAAATAGATACTACTAAATCTGCCAATTATCAATCAATATCAAGCAATGAGCATGGTGAGAAACAAAAAGGTATTTTCACCTAAAGTGCTGAGCACCTTTTTGAACTATCACAAGCTACAACATGGACTGATTGAATGCCCAGTGCATCAGCTGAGCGAAATGTAGCTGACACATTGCCAAAATCACTCAAACCTTCAACCACCAGACATACTGAATATGTCCGATTCTTTACAGCATGGCGAAACCTCTCTTTCCTCGAATCCATTATATACGGGGTCACTGCTTCCAATATCTCCAAACTACTCAAATACATACTTCCCGCCTTAACTTTATCCAAATATGGAAACCAACGCTCCTGATGACCCAGGCCTTCAGTATCAGGCCTGCGTTCCATTTTCATCAGCTTTGAGACATCATCTTTGTTGTACAGTAACTCCTCTACTGTGTCTTTGGATTTTTCCCCCGGACTTTCAGCGGCAACACGCGGAACTGCCATTTCTTCTGACGTTTCCAGTGAAATTGCTCCTTGAGTGCTGCCATATCGTCTTGAAGGATCTCTACACGGTTCGATTCTGAATGCTACTTACAAATTTCAAAACGAGACACGACAGAGAACAAGGTTAATACAGAAGCGTATAAACGTAGATACAACATTGAATTACCTGCTTGTATCATTAAGCAAACATTACAAAATAGGTACCTGGATTAAGAGAGAGTAGAGGCAGCGGCCGGAAAGAAGAAAAATTGGATGAAATGTGAAAATAAAAACTTCTCCGGTAGCTGCTTCGCGTTTGAAACTGAAAAAAGGAAATTGAAGAGCGAACTAGGGTTTTGCAGGCGCTCATTGCATGTGATTCTTCTCTCACTTACCTCACTACTGCTCCTCAGAGACGGAAATGGAGATTCAGCCGAGGATTGAACTGGACTGGACAAGGAAAAACAGAACGACGCCGTGAAGACCGCGTTCAATTTGGGTCAAGCCCATCTTAAAAAGCCCAACTACTTTTCGGACATCCTTGTTCTTGCTCTTCTTTATTTTCTTTATATAGATGCGATAAAATATTTATAAATAGAAGATTATATACACCCTCATCCACTATACAAAAAATAAATACTTAACTATTTTTGTTTGTCCAGTTTAAAAATCAAGAGATAACTTATCATTTTATACCAATTTAACGTCCATAATTATTTTCAATTCATTTCCTAACACGAATAACAATTAGGAGTGATATAGTATAAATTATTTTATTAATTATTTCTTAAAGGAGTGCCAAGACAAATATAGAAAAGTAAACCTGGACAACGGGAAATGTGTTTATATTCATTCAACTATTTTGTTACCTTTAAATTATGAGTATTGCCGCATTTAGTGGACACCCTACTCCATATTGATCAGAACTCCTGTTTTTCTAATTAAATTTAAATATTTGAATTAGCATTTCCTTAAATTTTAAAAAAGCTATGTAATCAACATATCATTTTTAGTAGGCGTATGAAATAATATGTGCATTCATCTTCCAACGGTACCATATAGCAGCAGTTTTCAAACAAATACTACTGGTAGTTGACAACTTTAATGAAACCAAACAAATACTACTGATAGTTGACAACTTAAATGAAACCTAACTCGCACAAATCACAATAATAGGTATATTAAATGGAAGCAAGTCTTGGACCAGTAGTTGTTAATTGTGTTAGGTAGAATGTAGAACTATTAAGTAAATAATCCAGTCTTGTCCAAACAAACAGAAATATTTTCAGGAATTTAGAAACTATATCATCGTTGTTCTTAAACGAGACTCAACAAAGTTCAGTAGATAGATTTTGAAAGATGGAACCTCATATTGCTCTACTTCCAAGTGCTGGAATGGGACATTTGATGCCATTCCTTCGCCTCGCTGCCATGTTAGCTTCTCGTAATTGTAAGGTCACTTTACTTACTGCCCAGCCTACTGTCTCTGCCGCTGAATCTAATAATTTGAATAGCTTCTTTTCTGCGCATCCACACATTCAACGCCTTGATTTTCATGTCGTTCCCCTCCAGACATCCAATCCTCACGGTGATCCCTTCTTTCTCCAGTTTGAAGCTATCATTCGCTCTGTTCATCTTCTTCCTCCTCTTCTATCTTCTTTATCTCCACCCATCTCCGCTCTTTTTCTTGACATTGCTGCTGCAACGTGCGTTGATCAGCTTGCTGATCATCCATCATTGTCTATATCCTACTACATCTTAAGTACAACTTCTGCTAGATTTTTTTCTCTTCTTACCCACCTACCTCACTTGACTCTTGAAAGCAGTTGCGAAAACTTGAAGCTTCATGGTTTGCCCTCATTTTCAGTATCGAACATCCCTCCTCCTTTGTTCAATCCACAGAATCTCTTCACAACTCAGTTGATCTCAAACGCACGAGCTATCTCCAGAGTTAAAGGTGTTGTTTCCAACACGTTCCATTGGTTTGAGGCGGAGACAAT